ATAACGTTATATAATAACACAATAATATCGTTATGAATTATACGTAGGTATCATCAACGTGTTCTGTCTATTACTGGTTGATGAATGGTTTTATAGCAATGTTGAAATAACGTTCCATATCAACGTATACATAACTTAGACAAACAACGTATTCTCACTTGGTTTCACACGAACTGTTAGATGAATACGTTATGTGAAATGTTATTTACACGTATCTAAAATACGTTAGACATATCAACCAAAATGACAACGTTGAAAAATAACGCTTAATTTTGATATATTATTTTGAGCGGAGAAACGTTAATTCCCGCGACATTTTTACCGATTTTTAACGTTCGGTCGCGTCACTTTCACAACATTATTTTACCTTTCTCAACGTTGTAAGTGTGCCCGACATGTGCCCACAGGGTTTGGGTAGATAAGTAAAGAAATGCATTCCTGAATGGTATAAAATGCTCGGCATAACGGCTTGTCATTTTCTTTTCTTCATATTTTCTATAGGTAGGTACAAGTGTGCCCCACTTAAAAGAACAATACCTACCTACCTACATGTAAAATTCATCTTGATTTGGATTTGGGTGTTCTTTTTTTCACTTCATATAGGTACAGGGTGTTTCAAAAGTATGGTTATTCCTTACATTTGACTAGGATGGAAAGTTTTAATAACTTAGCCATGCCATTACAGGGTGTTGAATTTTCATATCATCAATTTTTTTTTAAATATACCAACCTAACCTACCTACCTGATTCCTAAATGCGTTTTAACATTTTTTTATGAAACTTGGCTAATTGAATAAGCAATCAGGGACACCTATTTCCAAAATATAACATTTCAACAACATAACCAAATTTTAATTTTATTTTCATATTGGTGCATGCCATTTTTTATTGGTAGGTAGGTACAAGTTTTAGCTATCTCAAATGAGTTGACGCCATGGCAATTTCTCATGAAGTGGGTATTCAAGTAGTTCAGGTTTTTATTATCCTTAAGTCTTTTGACTTTTACAAACAGATACCTAGGTAGGTAGGTATCAAGGCCTGTAAACACTATAAGGTTACCTCATTTCATGGCCGTCACGTCACTGTTTCCCCTATTGTCTTTTGTTTCCGCACAGGTGGACATTCATCTGCATAAACAAACCTTGAGATAGGGAAACAGTTACTTCACAAATCGGCCCCGCTCCCGCGCACCCCTTGCCTAAAAGCTATGATATGAAGTTGATATGAGGTAACCTTGTATTGTTTATGGACCTTGGGTAGGTGCTTCCACAGAATGGAGAGTGGTGCTTCCTTGTTGTCATTGGTAAATATGAAAATCTTGGTAGGTATGGTGTTGATATCATGGTTTTGATAAATGCAGTTGATCATTGTCATAGCACCGAAATATTGGCTGACAGTTCATATGGAATTATTTGTCTAAAGTTTGCATGTTTTTTGATTCTTCACATTGATTTGTTATTCTACAAGGTTGCCGAAAAAATATTGTGCACAACACGCCCGAAAATGTTTTGTTTTGACTCACAGACTTCCAGGAATCCAGGACTTGCCTATGGCTTGTCCTAGAACCATTGGACCAATCTCATGATATACCTAGTCCTATATTATAATCCTCTAAGATGAAAATAATCTAGTAATATACAGGGTGATTGATTAGGGTGACTCTTCACATTCTTAAATTATTTACAATGTTACAGGGTGTTCCAGAATACTGTGCTAAATCAAAGTTATATTTTTTTCAAATTTTAAAATCTGCTTGACTTCCTCCCTATTGTGTGTTCTGCAGGGTAGTTAAAAAGTTATAACCAATTTTCCATGAAGAACCTATACGGGTATGTCACGACGAGCTTACACTATCTTTATATCGAGAATCAGTCTGAAGAAATTCATGAAAATGTGCATGCCTATAATATTGGACATTATGCTCTCTTCATTTGGAATATTTTCGACAATGCAGTGTTGCCGCTTCTACTGGAAAGTAGCAGCAACTTTGTTATTTCAAATGGAACACCCTGTATTTCATTGCATTGTTAGATTCTCCCTGGAGAGCTTATTTCATCAATACATCTCACTTGGGGTCTAGTGGGAAATGATTACAGAGATATAGGGTGTTGAAAATCGAGATTTTCCAACTTTACGATTTTTTCTGTCCAAACTATTCATTATTAGTCAAAACGGCTTACATGTCCCTATCTTAACTTTTGATTCACTATCTACTGATATTTAATTGAAAAAAATACAGGGTGGTCAGAATTCCGAATCTTGAACCACCTTATTTGTCAACTATATTTTATGTTAGTAACGAAAAGTACTTATAATTATTAGTTATCGAGATACCTATTTCGATTTTTATATGCAAACCATTGATTAGGTACCTACCTATCTAATCATTCAAAAAGTTAATTGTGAGTAGGCCATGATTTATGTGTCTGAAAATGACATGATAATATTGTCTGTAGGGGCCCTGGCCACCGAACTCAAATATCCGCCACTGTGTAGATACCTACTTAGATTTATTCTCTATTATTCTTTATTTCTTGGGGCACGGCCCTTTCTCCGATAAACCCGCTAGTAGCTAGTATGCAGTAACTCCCCCCATTTGACTGTGGTGTACCCACTCTACCTAACCATGACATTATGTGAGTAGGATAGACTTCAGTTGGAACTCGTAACATGTATATTGGTTTTTCGATAACTCCTTTAGATATCGAGATAACCCGTGAAAACGCCTAATTTTGCCTACCCTGTACTTAATAATAATAAAATGTATATGAACTCTTTACCGACGCCACTACTAATACACACTAGTAATAATAGGTAATTTTTTAGGAATCCTCAGAATTTAGCATTCTTCCACAGAATTGTTAGTGGTTGTGAGGAAAGAGGAATCAATTTTAATAAGTAGGAATCTGTTATAATCCGTATACTTAATTTTCAAGACATATAATTAATAAGTCAAGAGCTTGGTCAAGAGTCACAATGTTAACGAACAAATTAGTAGGAAAGAGGCAGCTACAAAGAAAAATAAAAAAACAAGCTGAACACTGGAAAAATCAAATGAATCCAATCAGTGAACCATCTAATTCCTCAAATGCAGTGAATTCTAGTGATATTGTTCATTTGGAAGTCCCTCTTCCAGATGAAACTTCCGACGTACCTAGTACTAGTAGGCTCATTCGTACTTTTGATCATATAAGTTGTTCTAAAAATAATATACATGTTGCCTCAGATGTTGCTATAGAGATGAACCAGAAGCTCAGGGAATGGGTTAATGAATATAATTTAACTCGCAATTCCATAACTTCCCTCTTATGTATACTGAATCCTGTTTTACCTTCCCTGCCTAGAGATTATCGAACTCTTATGAGAACTCCTCGACAAACCAAAACTACTAAATTAAAAAATGGCAATATGCACTATTTTGGTATTGAAAATAATATTTTGAAAAAATTAAAATATGGTTTTAGGAAGAATGTACAAGCTATTCTTTTACAAGTTAATATTGATGGATTACCACTTTTTAAAAGTAGTTCAACTGAGTTGTATCCTATTTTGGGTATGTGCCCAGATTTAATAGAAAATTCTCCATTTACAATTGCTTTATTCTGTGGAAAAGGTAAACCAGACCCCTTAACAACTTACTTAGATAAATTTTTGGAAGAAATCATCTCCTTGAAGCAAACTGGTATTAATTATAATGAAAACCTATTTTCATTTGATATACATTTCTTCATTTGTGATGCTCCCGCTAGAAGTTATCTACGTCAAACTGTTGGTCATACTTCAAAATTGGGATGTGAAAAATGTCAAATTGTTGGTATTTATGAAAAACACCGCATAATATATGCCCAAGATGAACTCGTATTGTTTGATCAGAAGTTGGATCAAGACTTCTTGAATGAACCAACTTGTGAATATATCAAAGGAAAGAGTCCCCTTTTAAGAGCAGATATTAAACTAATAACACAGTTTCCTTTGGACCCCATGCACTTACTTTTCTTGGGTGTAGTTAAAAGGTTATTAGTAAATTATTATTTTGATACTTCTACTGTTAAGTTGTCACAAAAACTCATTAATGAAATTGAAGAGAAAGTAGCTATTACAACATGATTATATAACATCAGATTTTCCTAGAAAATGTAGAACATTTAAGGAAATTCGAAGGTGGAAAGCTACAGAATTCAAACTCTTCATTATGTACACCTTTCCAGTGATTTTTCATAATGCTATCAATAGTGTTCAGTACAAGTTGATTTTATTGCTACATTGTGCTATTTTTATTCTGACTGACAGGGACTTGATTGATAAATATATTGGTGTTGCAGATGAATATTTAAAAAAATTCGTCATTCAATCAGCTGATGTGTTTGGTAGAGATTTTGTTGTTTTCAATGTACATAGTTTGGTTCACTTGGTTGATGATGTGAAAATGTATGGCACAATAAATGAATTTTCCTGTTTTCCATTTGAAAATTACATGAATTCTCTCAAAAGAAAATTGCACTCTGCAAATAAACCATTACAGCAACTGCATAGGAGAATTCAGGAACAGGACCATACTAATTCTGAATTCCATAATCAGAACCCAACTTCAAAACCAGAACCAAAGAATTTATATAATTCAGTTTATAATGCTCAAGGGAAACTGATTTCATTTGATTGTGAACGGTTGCAATTTGATGATACATTCTTAACTATATTTGCACCAAACAACTGCATTATGTTGAAATGCAAGAAAATATATTTATTAAAATTCATCAGATGTATTGAGGGTACATATGTATTTGAGGGTGAGCCTTTCACATACCATGATGATTTATATACATATCCTCTAGACTCAAGAAAGTTAGGAATATTTTATGTAAAAAAAGTGAATGAATCTAAGGCAACAACATTTAATATATGTGACATTTCACACAAATGCATGACTATGCCATATAAAGAAGGTTTTGCAGCCTTTCCTCTATACCACTATAAATTCTCTGATTTTCACCAGTAAAATCATGTTCGCCGTTGTGGAATTTTTGAAATCTGACATGGAGTCGACTGGAGAAATTTCTGTTGTGCCATTGATGTGGTTACACAAGAACCAAACCAAATGTTATTGGCCAAACCGCACCAATAAAATTCCATTCCAAAAATTTGTTGAGAGCCTCACCCCATTCAAAAAGACCTGGCCTACTTATAGGGTGAAATGTCATTTCACCTGTGGTAAGTGTTCCCAATAAATTATGTTTCAGTTTGATTTCAACTGATCTGTTTCAGCAACATATGAACAAGCAGATAACAATTTGAAAAACATTTTGACAGACAACTATGAATCTGCTGATTCTAATATATCATTATGCCAAAAAAGCATCCTTAATGAGTCTGATGAATCACTCTGCTCTAGGAGTCTATCCCCAAATATCCTTTCCACACCAGAAGTATCTAAAAATATTCCTGATGTGACTAATTCACCCTCAACATTCATTTGTGAAGATGAAGGTGCCAAGAGAATGCGGCTGGATGACGATGAAATTAATATTCCATTGTCTCAGTTGTCACATTCCTCACAGCATAATATTATTTCTGATGGAGAAATGTCTTCAAGGCCCTCTTCCATTGTTTCTTGCAGCTCCAGAGCTAGAAGTAGTATTATTCCTCTGGCAAAAAACACAGGTAAACTTGCTGATATGCATACCTACTCAGAATTCACTAATGTTTTCCAAAATTCATATATACTTGTTATATTTTCTATCAATGATTTTATTCCCAATTAATTTCCATGTCTATGTTTTTTTTAGAATTCGAGAATGTTGTTCTACAAACATTGAGCCAAATTTCTGCCAGTGTTTCCCAACATTCAATTCTGCTGGCTGAAATAAATAGACGCACTAGTATGACTGGAGCTGAAAACCTAGTGCCACCTGTTGACTTACCAGATTTTCCATTCACAATCCTGCTGAACTTTCAGGAATTTGACTTGAAACTCAGGGATGATCAAGCATTATGGACATACATGGTGAGTCAAAATTTCTGCATTCTTGTGAAACATACCTTTTTTATGTAAAATCTGTAAAATTTCCAAATTCACAGATATAAAATAATAAAATGTGAAATGATGAATTTTTTACATATGCTCTCCCCAGTTTAACTGGTTCCAAAGGTTATAATAGTTTTTAGTGTTCTCTTCTACAGCATAGTCCATAGTTTTTCTTCTATCCATAGAAAACTTATTCTTGGGAGAACAGTTGAAAGGGGTCGTAAAAAGCTTTGTTTAGAAGATACAGGACCTTGAATTTGAAAATAAATATTTACTATGAATTACTAATGAACCGCTGAACAAAAATCAAAATATTCTCGTGAATTATTTACCTGAGAGGAAATAAACTAGTAGTATCACAAGAAATATTATTTGAATAGAATTTGATAGGATGCAATGGTTTTGAAAATGATAATCAAAAAATCCAAATTTGGCTCCAAAAATTTAATGCAGGAGTCTCATGGGTATTCCTTTTGAGATATCAGTACTCTATAGCTATATAATAGGTATCATGAAACTTTCGCAATATGTCATCAAATACAAACAAAAATATTTAGTAGATCTATACATATTTTGGTAGTTGCCATCTTCAGAAGACCTGGAATGTAAGAAAAGATTAGCTGACTCCTTATTATCTTTTTTTGGATATTCTCGGGAAAATTACTATCGGGTGACAATGCCAATTTTTAACTTCAATGCCCCTGTATCTCATAAATGAAGCATTTTATGACCATTACGTTTGTAGGAACTTTTCATTGATATAAGATATTTTATTAGTTGTTGGAAGTCCTGCTTCAGGAAAGTGAATCACCCTGTATAATGTAAATAATTTGTTTTTAGGTAAGAAAATTAGCCACTCTTGGTGGGTCTGGCACAGAAAGCCATACAAGAAGAATGCTGAAATATCTTCTGTCTGATGAAGTAGCAAGAAACTTCAACTGGAAGGGAAGAGAAAAAATATCTTTTGAGAAGCTCAAAACAAAACAGCTGATATTAGGTAAAGATTTGCAGTACCTTCAGAAATTTGGTCATTTTTCTTGGATCAGCTAGCCAATATTTTATGAATATATTTTTTGCTCAGCAGATTTAGCAATTATCTGTATGTATAGAAGGGTGAAAAATCAATGGCCATTCTCTCCCCTTGACCCTTGTCATGGCTTCGGGGATTTCACACTTTATTGAAAATAAGAATATAATAGAAAATTGAATTTTTAATTCATAGGTATTCCATAAAATAGCTAAATAGTTATGAAAAAAATAAGAGCTTAGATTCAACGCAATATTTTCATTTCAATTACTTTCATAGCCAATTCAATGGAAATTCTTGACAGCATTTATCTCAGTGTCCAAATTAAATTACCTATTAGATAGTGTGAAAATAACCATGAAAAATATCAGGCTCCAAATCTGAGCTAGAATAGAATTCTTTCAAGACAATACTACTACAGGGTTTTTCAAATTCAATGCTCATCATTGGAGTCTCGAGAACCATGAATGATGCAAAGAAGGTTGAATTTGGGCAATTCCACAATTTCATGCTCATTTTTATGGAGTGGAAGAAAATCCATGATAGTCTTTTGTTTTCTAGGCATTTGAGAAGAATTGAAAAAAATGTTAATTCCAATATTTTTTCACCCTTGATTAATGGAGATACAAAAAACTGAGTGCACTTTCTCATTGTCACTTTTCAAAAAGATATTTGCTGTTTAAGAATTCGGCCATTCTACTGTTCAAGTTGAAAAGTCGAATTACAATGCTGAGAATGTGTGGATCATGAAAAAATTTTAGATAGATAAATTTTTCAAATAAGCATAGTACGAAAAGGACTTTCACTTTCCTTCACTTATTGATGAGTATGAAAGTCCACAACTGCCCCAATTCAACCATCTTTACATCTTTCAAAATTCTTGAATTTCCCAATGAAGAGCATTGAATTTGAATAACCCTGTATATGAACAATGAATGCATGCAAGTTTTTTATTCAGTTGCATTTCTAAAGCTATGGATTTCATACAGATGTTTCAATACGAGAATTACATTTTAAAATCAAATTCTGTGCCCTTCTACTTGTTTTTGAAAAGCAATAGGCATTCATTTCATTTGTTGAATCATCTGGTGTACTTTTGCGTATCACTCCAGATACTCTGTAATTAACATAGATTATCCACTTTATTTACAGATGCTGTGAAGTATGCTTTTCCCTCAAGAGAAATAGATGAGTACAAATTATGTAATGTCATAAAAGAATGGCTCAAATTTGCTTCCACAAGGTTGATCAAAGGAAAAAAATCTATTCCAACAAACACGTAGATAATTTCTGAAATGTTTTTTTAACGGACAAGAATTTGAATTTTAGTTATTTCTGTGATATGGTGCCAAATCATTCTTTATGGAAGAAAATATATTCCAACAAATAATTAGGTGAAATTTCATGCATAACCATATGATTTTATTGTTTTTTTTTTGGATTTGGTGTCAATCATTTCTTAATCACATATTTTGTTTATTGCAGAACTTAATTGCTTCTAATGTGTTTTCGGAATGGATTTTTTTTTGGAATGGATATTTAGGTTATAAACATGTTTAAAATTGACTTATGCTTGAATATGAAACATTATTTCATACAGCTATGTCCCCTTTTTCAACTAACGTCTATTTAATGCCAGTGATTTCAGAGACAAACAAGAAGCTCAGAGAATTGGTTGTTACAAATTCAAATATATACATGGGGATCTTGGAAAATATATGGGTGTTGCAGATGAATATTTGAAAAAATTCGTCATTCAATCAGCATGGTAGAGATTTTGTTGTTTTCAATGTACGGGGTGTCCCAAATTCGAGGAGTATCATTGGGATCTCAGTAATAATAACAGACACAAAGTCGGTTAAATACGGGGAGAGTTGCGCAATTTGATGCTGATCAAAACGCCGCCTCAAAAGTATGGAAATTCCGAATACTTCCGAAGATATTTGAAAAAAAACAAATATTCGCGATTTCGTTTATATTTTTTTGACTTTATTCGGAGTGATATGACAAAATAAGTTCTATATTATCATTGCCACTTCTTCCGCTCTATTCAATGGTATCAATAGATTTGTGTTCCGACGTTTCGTCGATGAGAAGCCATCATCAACTTCGTTTTTTTAAATGGCCGAAAACAATTTTTTTTAAAAACTCTTTATCCAACGACATATTGCACTTAACAATCATCCAACGTTTCGAAACTGGAAATCATCATCAGTGTTATTTGATGATGGTTATGAGAAAACGAAACGTCGGATCAAAAATCTGATGGCGGCAACTTGTAGAGAAGGAAAAATTGCTACGAAAATGTAAACTTTTAGTAACATCAGAAAAAAAAACCATTTCTTGGAATTAGAAACTTCGAGAATAGGTAACTTTTTATAGGAAACTTGAATAGAGAAACCAGAATGAATTTGACATTTTCGCAGCAATTTTTCCTTTTGTGCAAGATGCCCTCTTCAGATTTTTGATCCGACGTTTCGTTTTCTCGTACATCATCGAATAACACTGATGATGATTTTTTGGTCCGAAACGTCGGATTATTGTAAGGTGAAGTATATCATTAGATTTAGAATTGAATAGTTTTTTAGGACAAAAAAAATTTATCGAACTTAAAAAAAACAGAGTTGATGATGGGGCTCCTCAAAGACGAAACGTCGGATCACAAATCTATTAGTATCATTGGATAGAGCGGAAAAGTGGCAATAATAATACAGAATCTATGAACATTCGGTTTTTCCAAATATCTTCGGAAGTATTCGGAATTTCCAAATTTTTGAGGCGGCATTTTGATCAGCATCAAATTGCGCAACTTTGCCCTAATTCAACCGATTTTTTATCTGTTATGGTTACCAAGATCCCAATGATACCCCTCGAATTTGGAACACCCTGTTCACTTGGTTGATGATGTGAAAATGTATGGCACTATAAATGTATTTTCCTGTTTTCCATTTGAAAATTACATGAATTATCTCAGAAGAAAATTGCAGGAAAATTCAGGATATTTCAGAATTCCATAATCAAAACTCAACTGCAAATCCAGAACAAAAGAATTTATATAATTCAGTAAAATGATGCTCAAGGGAATTTAGGAACTGATGGAATTTTCGACGTTCATAATTTTGATCATATGAATTGTCCTGAGAATAATATACACTGTGTCCATAAAGTCACCCCCCCTGGTTATTTTTTGAACGGCTGAGAATTTTTTTTTCAAAATTTTTTTGGTCACATGGTAGTTTAGGTACTACATTTTGACACCGATAAAAAATATGTATCTTTCAAAATGGCGGATGAGCGCCATTTCGAAAGTTTTTTTTAAATAGAATGGGGGGTCAAATGATACCTCATTTTGAAGGTCTCCCAATTCTCTATACAACCCCAGATTTTCAGATAAAAATATTCATCCAAAACAAAATGGCGGATGATAATGTTTGAAATCTCAGCTCTCAGATACATGGCTATCAACGAAATCTCGTGTAATCTTCAATTTTTTATTGCCTCTATTAGCATCTAGAAGTGTTCTCTATCCAGAAAAATGTCGGAAGGGGGCCATCTTGGAGAATTTTCAGACATTGGATATAAAGTAGGTATATCATCGACTATCATCTTATTTGAATATTCTCCAAGATGGCCCCCTTTCGACATTTTTCTGGATGGAGAACACTTCTGGATGCTTATAGAGGCAATGAAAAATTGAAGATTACACGAAATTTCGTTGATAGCCATGTATCTGAGAGCTGAGATTTCAAACATTATCATCCGCCATTTTGTTTTAGATGAATATTTCAATCTGAAATTCTAGGGTTCAATTGAGAATTAGAAGACCTTCAAAATGAGGTATCATTTGACCCCCCATTTCATTTGAAAGAAACTTTCAAAAAGGCGTCCAGCCGCCATTTTGAAAGATACATATTTCTTATCGGTGTCAAAATGTAGTACCTAAACTACCATGTGACCAAAAATATTTTGAAAAAAAAAATCCCAGTCGTTCGAAAAATAACCAGGAGGGGTGACTTTATGGACACAGTGTAGATATTACCTTTGATGTTTCTATAGAGATAAAGCAGAAGCTCAGATAATGGGTTAATGAATATAATTTAACTTGCAATTACAAATTTCCTTTATGTATACTGAATGCTGTTTTTATTTTTGCTGCCTAAAGATTAGAGAATTCTTATGAGAACTCCTGGACAAACCAAAACTATTGAATTAGAAAATGGGAATATGCACTACCTATTTTGGCATTGAAAATAATATTTTGTCAACCAATCCTACTCGGTTGTATAAAATATAATTTTTCACAACTTACAAGATGTGTTCATGAAAAATGGGACATGCTGGAAATGTTTGGACAGGAAAATAATGATAATTTCACTTTTTGTATTTTGCTGATGGTTGAATCAACCATAAAAGAGGTTATTTATTACTAGTTCCTATTGTTTTTTCTAACTATGAATATTTTAATAGTTAGTTGTGTTGAGTTTTTAAAGGTCCTGAAAAAAATCATTTGAACAAAATGCTGGCCCAAAAGTAGCCTGTAAAATTTTTCATTTATAAAATATTTATAAAATATCTGTTTTTTATTTATAAAATAGGTGTTGAAAAAAACTGCTCGGGGATGGCAATTCAGTGCCGTCGTTTTTACCGGTTTTCGAAGGTTGTAAGAAAGAAAATAGATGAAAGGCAAGGCTACCAAATATAATTTGAATGATTGAATACATTACATTACTTTTAGATTAACGTTATACGTAGACGAGCAAGAATGCTACATATAATTTGAATGATTCGATAAATCCCATTTTCACGTTGAAATTTCACGTTGATTCTGCGTTGCAGAAACAAGGTTTATTAAAATGTAAGAATGATGCATATAATTTGAATCATTTAATACATCATAATTTTACGTTGTAGTTCAACGTTTCGGTTGATAACATAATTATATAGTAGTCATACGTTCGAAAACAACGTTAAAAAACATGTAGTGTTGCTACATATAATTTGAATGATTTAATGAATTTTATTCTAACATTGACTGATAAATTATATTTTCACGTAGAAAATTAACATTCAATTAAAGGTTGGAATAATACGTTTGATAAAAGGTGACTAGGCAGCATATAATTTAGATGATTAATTAAATTCAATTTTTACGATGATAAATAACGTTTAATAAGAGGCAAGAATGCTACATATAATTTGAATGATTTAATATATCTCATTTTCACGTTGAAATTTCACATTGATTCTGCGTTGCAAAAACAACGTTTATTAAAATGTAAGAATACTGCATATAATTTGAATCATTTAATCCATCATATTTTTACGTTGAATTTCGAAGTTGATTACAGGTTTACGTATATTTTTATATATACGTTGTAGTTCAACGTTTCCGTTGATAACATAATTATATAGTAGTAATATGTTCAAGAATAACGTAAAAAACATTTAAGGTTGCTACATATAATTTGAATGATTTGATGAATTTTATTCTAACGTTGAAAAGCAACGTTTAATATAAGGAAATAATGCAATATTTAATTATAATGATTTTATTATCTTAAATTTTGTGTTATAATTTCTCGTTTATTATAAGTTGAAAAACAACGATGAATAGATGGGAAGAAAGCCACATATATCTCGCATGATTTCGCGAATTACATTTTTACGTTGACATTTTACGTTGATTTATACTTATAGTAATAAATTTATACATACGTTTTTGTTCAACGTTTCGGTTGATAACATAATTATATAGTAGTTATATGTCAAAAACAACGTTAAAAAAATGTAGGGTTGCTACATATAATTTGAATGATTTAATGAATTTTATTCTAATGTTGAAATTTCACGTTGAAATGCAACGTTTCAGAAAACGAAATAATGCAACATATAATTCTGAAGATTCCGTCATCTGAAATTTAACGTTTTAATTCCACGTTGATTATAAGTTAAAAAACAACGTTAAATAAATGGAAAGAATGCCACATATAACTCGCATGATTTCATAAATAACATTTCTACGTTCACATTTTACGTTGATTTATACTTACAGGAATACATTTATACATACGTTTTTGTTCAACGTTTTGGTTGATAACATAATTATATAGTAGATATATGTTCAAGAACAACGTTAAAAAATTGTAGGGTTGCTACATATAATTTGAATGATTTAATGAATTTTATTCTAACGTTGTAATTTGACGTTGAAAAACAACGTTTAATAAAAGAAAATAATACAACATATAATTCTGAGGATTTCATCATCTAAAATTTCACGCTA